AAAGCATGGGCAAAGCAACTTCTTGGAGCAGGAGGAGCCCTTATTGCCCAGCTGTAAGCAGGCAGCTTCATCCTATCCCATGAGTTCTTTGCTGTCCTAGCCTGCCTTTTACCCTGCCTAAGCCAAAAGCTAGTGCTGAAAATCTGTTTTTAAATTAAATACATTAACATCACTGCCACTAAGAGCAGGACCTTAAATACAATTTTACTGATACTCCAGGGTACCACAAACATCCCCTAGGCTTTGACTAGCAAAGGCAAATGCTATTTTGTGGCATGCAAACCTTATGTAGCAAATCTAATCCTACTGAACAAGACTTTGTCAGCTTTCCCAAGACTTTACATTAATTTCAAGTAAAACCTGGACCACCCTGCCAGGGACCAGGAGACTACAGTGGAAATCACTCCTCTATGGGACATGGTTTTATTTGCATGATGTTCTGTAAAAGATGTTCTGTAAAACTATACTCCTTGCAGAAGGTACAAAATGTCATCAAATTGCAGTGGCCAGTTGAGCCTGCTCAGTTTCTCTCAGGACATGCTCACAAACAAAAAAGACAGGTTTAAGTGTTCAGTGTCCTTTATCACACTAGTACAGTGTTAATACAGTGCAGACTCTCCCATGTATTTTAACTATGACCATTCAAAGGATCAAATACTTGTACATAAATGTGTAACTTAGTGATTATTTTTTTTTTAGATTATTGCAGCAGTGAAGAATACTGCCCTTATAAAATAACTCTGACCTGCAATTTTCAGGCAATTCATTTCCTTGAAAGATAGGTAAATCTTTTTCTTTAAACAATAATCACAGAATACACTTTAGCTTTGTCACCAGGATTTCTTTTTATTTAAAAGAACAACAGGAAATGGGGAAAGAAAAAAATAAAATACAGACTTCTGTTAAAGGACAATTCACTGAAGGGTCTTTTAGCTGGCAATTGTCAGCACTGCTCAGGGCCAATGGATCAAATTTAACTCTAAAAAGTGCTGATGCTTGTATGAGTCTTCACAGTAGGAGCTGGTGCTCTGGGCCACTCAAGTTCAATTTTTGGTGTTACCATGGGGTGTAGGAACTGAGATCTTGGTGAGCAAAGATTTGCTCTGTATTTGATGCACTGGGTAAAGTGGCATTCTTAAAATCACTAGCCTCCCAAGCAGCTAGTAAGCCAGCAGGAGGTTAGTAGGAGGAGAAAGTAATTGTCCTTTGTGCCTCTGAAAATAGCCAATATTAAAGAATCCTCTTATGTATTACCTGAGTTTCAATCTATGCTTGTAGCTCAAAGGAAAAGGGAGAGGCTGGAGAAGACAGAAAATAAAGGTGTTAGAAATATTAGAGGAGACCCTCCTCAAGCTGTCACGAAGCGCATACTCTCCTCACCTAGAAATGTGCGCACCTAGAAAGCATGTGTGCTCTGCAAGCAACAAAAACACTTGTTCAGATAATGTGCTTCACATACGCAGAATGTACTGTGTAAGTGCCCGTGCCTGTGTGATGACCACGTGCTTGAAGAGACCAGAAACATGAGGAAACATACTGCAAGAGTAATCACTTACACATATCTAGGATGTCCATCAGTGGAGCAAGCAGCACTTGGACTTGAGCTGCTTTAACAGATTGCACACAAGGCATGGGAAACCCACTTTACCTGTAGCCTCCACTCTCCACACAACGCCCAATGAAGATGTTAACTGAAACATGACTAGCAGTAGGATGCAAATCTGATGCTTTGATCTTGACCTGAATGTTCTTATCTGTTACTAAATTTCACAAAGAGAAACAGAAATGGCTTGAAATTCCCAGTTTGGTTGTAAGTTTGAAAGGAATTCTCCTAATTGGGTCTGAGCACCCCATGAAATAGGAGGAAGACTTCCACAAGCCCCAACACTTCAGTGCCACCAAAGAGGAGTTCATTCTTGTTTCAGGCTTCAACCCACTGTCTAAATCAAATTTGATTTGATCCTAACTACACAATACATCAGAAGTGATTAATTGGACCAACTCTAACTCTTGAAAAAATGGCAAAAAAAAATAAGTAAAACATTATAAAAAACCTCCAGGTTTACAGTACAGGAGGCTTTTAGGCTTTCCAAGGGCCATTCTCAAGGTGTAAGGCCCAGCTGCCCACTTCCTCCTCAGCAACACTCCTGCTGCCTTCAGTGCAAGCACAGCTCTGCCTGTTCAGGGAACACGCAAGGATTCTGATGTAGAAAATAGGAAAAAACCTTCTTTGCTAATAGGAAAAAAATCCTTATAATAATACTAATCTATTTATAATGGTCAAAAAAATATGACAGCTTACAACAGCGTCAGAGCAGCGCTTTGGCAATATTTTAGCATACTGTTGTATTTTTAGAAGGACTGTTCATTTACTTTCTCCTAAATGCCGAATTCTTATTTTTCAACAAACACTCTGTTTTTCGGTGTATCCATATGCCAACATCAGAGTGTTTTATATCAGGGTAAGTATGAACTGCAGGCAGAAACAAAGCTCCTGTACACACGTTGCATTACACCAGCACTGTCAGAGATGCCAAGAAGTCTCAATCTCCTCCCATGCTTTATGCAGCGATAGTTAGCTACGCCACTTGCAAACCTTCTTGGAACGCAATGGTACGTTTTTACGATGAGTAACAGAAAACTGCTGTTTCTTCACCCTGAACATGGAGGAATTATCCCATTGTAAACAATACATCTGACAGTTTAATGATATTGCTCAACCTAACTGGTTTTGGCAAGCTGCACATACGATAAAAGTGCAGCAAGATGTATGTTTAAGCATGTTTGTATTTTCTCAGCACAGAGACCTCAGAAGGGTACCTTATCATTTCAAAATTAATTAGCAAAGCTACCTGTATTCTGAAGTAAAAAACTGTAAGCTCTCTGTTAAGTTTCATCTGGTACTACAAGATCAGGATGATCACAGTCCCTAAGCACTTCTGCAGCTGGAGCTCCAGCACATATAGACAAAATTCACAAGCTTTTATTTTCTCTCTGAAAAGCGTGTATTAGCTGCCATCGCTTACAAAAACTTATACTAAATTAAATACATATGCACCCACATGTTAACTGAATTAACTCAAAACAGTCAATACATCTCAAATGTCCATCTGTTTACATAAGACACTTGCAGCTTTCAAGTCTTGTACTCCTTATAGTGTAACTCTCAACTGAAACAGTTTAGGTTCAGCCAGAAAGCTGCCACATTTCCAGGCATAATGGCTATGTGCTTATTGGGTTTTCATGTTCCAATCATGTCAGAACAGACATGCTATCCAGTTGCATTTGGGTTTTCATGTTCCAATCATGTCAGAACAGACATGCTATCCAGTTGCAAAATGCAGCAGATCCGTGCCAGCCTCTCCCTCTTCAGCTGGAGAAACCTTGTAAACTAAAGCTGGCTGTAACCTGGCAAGATAATACAGCTGAATTAAAAATAAAAATCTCCCCTTGCAACCCCAGTTTAATAGTTGTAAATAGTGCATTTTGCAGGACGAAGAATTTGTTTCTGAGGTAATAATGTATTTTCCAGTGCTGGGAAGGATTAAGAGGGTATAAAAATAGCAGCAGACACAAGTAGCTGTTCTCAGGTAAGTTTCAGGTGCTAAAATATTTTTGATGAGGAGCTTTGTACTAGCTCCTCATGTATATGAAGCTGCTTTTTAATCTGAGTGGCTCACTTCAGCAAGGCTGCAGTCAGCTAGCTGTATTTAAATTGGGAAAAGCCAGGACACATTATCTTGCAGTCCTACAGCTGGAATTCAACCTCCTTTTTTAATTTGAACTGTTCATAGTCTATTATTTGACAGAGATGGAGCAATGTGCAGCTCTATTAAAAAAAAAAAAAAGAAAGAAAGAAAAAAAGAATAAGAAAAACTTCTCTAATTTTAGGGTGGTGCTGGTTTTACCCTTATGAGAGTTAAGCGGTAGCATTAACGATAACAAAAGCTACCTGCACCAGCGTGCGAGACTAGCGTCTCAAAGAAAATAGTTGTGCTCAGACACCCTCCTCCTGGACGCCCCTACTGTATTGTTGCTGTTGCTGATGATCGCGATGTTGAACGCCTACAAATCTCCCACGTGCCTATTTCGTTGGCCTGCTGGTTTAAAAAAAAATTAATAAATAAATAAAGCTAGAGGCCATTATTCATGAGCAGTAAGAAAACAAATCACTCTTAGTCCTACTCCTCTTGCAGATTCCCACACTTATTACCCAAAATCCCACAGCCTGCTATTGGTTCTACCCTTGACCAAAGTACAGGGCTGAGGCAGCATGCCATCCCTAGGGAAAAGCCGATTACGTTCCTCCCGGCAAGGGGCTCCGGTTATTCTAGGATCGCAGGAGGGCTGGAATAAAGTCCCTTAACTTTCCTAAGAAGGCACAGATCGCTTCCACCACCGGTGCCTGGGCCACCTCGACCGGGAGCCGGCGGGGACGAGCGCGGCCGCGCTCCCTACCCTGACCGGTACATCGTTTTTCCCCGACCCGTATTCTCTTTGTGGGGAAAGCAGCCGAAACGGGTGAACCGAGCCTGCAGCGCCCTTCCACTGAGTCACCCTCGGACTCCGGCAGAAGCGAGGCACACGCCTCGCAGAAACATGTGAACAGCCCCTCCCGGTGCCCCCCGTTTCCCGGTGCCCACCGGTGCCCCCCGCGCCCCGCGGCTCGCCTCCCCTAGAGCGGCTCGGACGGCAGCCGCCGCTCGGCACTCACGCACGCACGCACGGAGAGGCAATTACAATAATTTAAAGCTTCCTGTCCGCCGGCTCCGCCGGGATCCCGAGGGCTGAGCCATGCCTGGGCAGGGCGCGGAGCAGCGGCTCCCCGCCACACCACACAGGCGTGGGCACTGCGGCCGGCCCGCCCCCAGCCCCAGCCCCGCCGGCGGCAGCAGGAGGAGGAGGAGGAGGAAGGGGGGTGGGGGAGCTTGACAAGTTGTGCCAAACTTCGGGAGGTGTGCGAGCGCCCGGGAGGAAGCCGGCAGCACTGACAGCCGGCCCCGCCAGCGGAGCCCGCCTCTTCGCGATGCCCCTCGCCGGGGCTTGCCCTCCCGCCCGCCATCCCCCCGCCGCCCGGGGGAGCCCCACGGGGCGCTGAGCGCCCGCCGGCGAAAGTTAGACCGGCGGCGGACAGGCACCTACCCGCTGACTGCAATGTCTCCTCCGGGCGCGGGGTGCTAAGTGAGACACTGGCGGGGTGGGGAGAGGCAGAGGTGCGGGGAGGGACCGGGAGATGGGTGTTTGGTGATCTCTTCCTTTCTCTTCTCCCCTCCTTCCCCCCCCTTCCCCCTTCTCTCTGTCTCTCAAGGACGAGGTGAAATCCCTTTAGTGGTCATGAGGCGGCTTCAGAGACAAACACCACAGTGCGAGTGCAAATAACAAAAGGGGAAAAAAAAAAAAAAAAGGAAAATACACGAGAGGGAGACCGGGAACAATGGGGGAGGAGAGGCTCGCCGCGCCTGGCCGCCGCCGGCACCCCGGCAGGAGCAGGAGGCAGAGGAGGAAGGCGAGGTGGCTGCCGCGGGGAGGGGGCTGCGCGGGGAGTCTCCTCAGAGCAGTCCCGGGCTCCTTCTCGCCGGCCGCGCACCGGGGCGGCCCTGCGGCTGCGGCGGGGCGGACAACGGTAAGTGACGCGCCCGCCCCAACAGCCATCGCCGCCACCATCGTCATCCTCACCGTCCCTCGGGTGGGGAGAAAAGGGGGCGGCTGTCCCCCGGTTGCACGGCAAAGCGGCTGGGGGGCACCGAGCCCTTTCCGCCTCTTCTTCCGCTCGGGAACTTCTGCACCGAGCGGGGCTGCCGTGGGTCCCAGGGACGCCGCTACCGTTTTCCTCCCGAGAGGCAGGCAGTCCCCGTCCCGCTATCCGCTAGGAGTAAACATCCGAATTGCGTGTCCGTGTGCGTGCCCGCTAGCACCTCCCGCACCGGCAGCCCCTATCACACCGGTTCGACCGCGCACACGCACGGCCGCCCGCCGCACCCTTCAGCCACCCCTCTCCTCATTTCGGTGACCCCCGGCCGGGAGCACGACGGGGAAGCAGAAGTTTGGGGTCCCCCTCGCGCCCTCCCGGGGCCGGTGACCAGGCACCGCCCCAAAAAGCCGCGGCGGGTTTGGGGATCTCCGCCACCCCCGCGGCCCGCGCCGCCGGTGCCGTCCCGCCAGCAGGGTTACCTCAACGCGGGCGGCCTGAGACCGGGTCCCGGGACGGACGGGCCGGGCAGCACCCGCCGTGTCACCGCTCCCCCAGGCAGGCGGGGAGCAAGCGTTGCGCCTGGCCCCGCAGCCCGGCTTTGCCCCGGACCCCCCGGTTACCTCCTCATCATCATCTCCGCCAGCACCCCCCCGCCGCTCCTCACTCGGCTGGGCGCAGTCGTGTCCTGGGCTGGCCCCGCGGGGACCTGGCTGGTGGGTCACGGGGCTTCGCGTACGGGTTGGGGTACGTCCGTGGGGTTGGGGTCGGAGGAAGGTGGATTGTGTTCTCTCGGCAGCCCTTTGCTCTGCCTGTACTTCATACAGCTGATCGGGAGCAAGCACCGCGGTGCCCGGGCGCGGGGGAAAGAAGAGGCGAAACCGGCCGCCGGAGCCTGGGGACAGGCAAGGGGCGACCCGCCGGTGCTGCTGCTAATAAAGTCACGCTCTGCAAGTAAGAGGTTTCTCTGTTTTGTTTACTTACGGGGTCTTTTATTTTTAATGGAGAGGTTCGTACACGTGCTGCTGTGGAGCGGTGCAGCCGGCTTAGGCGGAGTGTGCGCCTGAGAGTGGGAAATGCAGCACTAAGCCAAACGGTTCAAAGAAGAGCAAGTTCGGTTATTATTCATCTCCACGAGGGAAGTCTTATCTTCTACAAATATTTGATACTGGGACAAGTCCAATAATTAACAAGAACAATCAAACAATTTCACTGCCTTCTCGGGGATTTAAAAAGTCGTCATCTGGAATTCATGAGCATTACAACCGGGTTTTTTTCTGCTTGGATGCGTTATTGTATATGATCTTTTCAGTATGTGTGCGTCCCTAAGTAATTTTACCCTTTGATGCAAAAAGATGCAAACCATTAAGGGCACAGATAATAGTCACAATTGCTGAGTCAGTGAGACTTCAGCCCTCTCCGTATGAGTGGGGAGAGAGGGTGGTAACCCTGATGGGAAAAGGGAAAAACAACACAAAAAAAAAAAAAAAAGAAAAAAAAAAAAAAGAGGTGGAGGAGTGTTTCTTTCTTGGCTTCCTCCCTACCTCTGTGGCAGGAACTCCCACGGGCGTCCTGTGGGTGGGATGGGAGCAGCACAGAGCTAAGGCACGGCTGCCTGGCAGGAGAATGGCCAGTGATGTAAAGGTGCAAGCGTCTGTGCTCCCAGCTGGCCCCAGAACTCCTCTTACCAGAGAAGAAGCCACACCGGGAAAGGAATGGGAGTACCAAGCTCTGCAGCAGCATTTCTGACACAGCATGAGCTTGGGGTGCCAGGGAGGCAGTGTGGCTTTCAGGACCTGTGGTGACCTAAGCAGGCCAGATTGGTAGTGCCCCAGGGCCCAGTTGTAGCCCCAAAATACCCCAAACTACTCAAACTTGCCTCATCTGGATCAAATTCAGATATCGAGAAAGATGACCACATGCTGAATGGCAAGAGTTTTACCCTGCACTGCCCCAGTCACCAAATTATGTCCAAGGTCTCACAGTGATCACCAAAGTCACAAGTCCTCAGTCCATGCCTGCTCATGCAACCCTCCAGTCTCATGGCTGGCAGCCCCAGTGCTGGCACAGGTAAGGAAATACATTGGGCATGGAGCTCCACTCATTTTCAGGTAATCTCAAGCCTCGGGACCTACAGCCAGACTTCTCTGTGATAGGCTTGATAGGGGAATGTGTCCCCTCCCCACAACTTTCAGATCTCTTTTCTCTTGATACAATTCCCACCCAATTTTTTCATTCCCTCCAGCCCCCCCCTTCACTTCTTGCTTTATGTCAAGTTTCACAATCATGATGAAGTTTCTTGCAGTTCAACACAAGAAAGGAATTACAGTGGTTGGGTCCAAAACTAATCTGGAGTGAAGAGAAAAAGCCAAATGTGGGTGCATTTTGTTGAAGATCAAAAGCACAGTGGTGTGAGATTGTATTATGCTCTCCACAGGAGCTGTATTTTTCTACTACTACAATAGGATTAAGGTGCTCAGTGGAAAAGAGAATTACAAGGGGGGGGGGGGGAAGGCCCATTGGACTGGTACTGTCTGCATTTGAGTTTCTCTTAAATGGCAATATTTCATCCCTCAAGAACTCTTATCATTCTGTTTCCAAACACTTTAAAACAATAATTTTAAAGGCCAATAATAATTTGATTTCTACTATTTGTTACTGAGGATTCATTCTACCTTTTGAGATATATATATTTATATAAAGCATGTTACCATTTCTACATTTGGTCATTTCAGAAATTTCAGTCAACCAGTTGCTTTTGAGTCAAAACTAAAGACATGCCCTTATTTAGCCCTGCATATTTGAGAGCACAGGATGTTAAATGTTAGTATACACAGGCTGTACACAGCTGGCAGCACAGATTCAAGCCACTTTTCCACCCCGAATAACTAAAGAAAGCACAAAAGAAAATTTTTGGCACGGCTTACCCAATGAAAGTTAGTCTCCTGTGCAAAAAAAAAAAACTGCTGCCTGTTTTAAACCAGAAATTTGCAAAGTTTTGGCTAACCTTCAGTTTCCCAATACCAGGGAATTACAGAATGGTTTAGGTTGGACGTGACCTTATAAATCATCTAGTTCCAACCCTTTCCACTGGACCAGGTTGCTCAAAGCCCCATCCAGGCATGGCTTGAGCCTGGTTCTCTTCCAGTCTTCATGGAACGCGATCGTGTGTAAACAATAGGTAATCACCTCTTCTTTAGAGTGAGCAGCATGCTTAGTGAAAGTGGTTTATACACAGGTCTGCTTTCACTGAATTGACCCCAGCCCTGTACCACAGGTTCAGCAATCGCCATTTTAAGCATGACTCCATAAGATAAAATCACAAGTAGATCTCTGCTCGCACAGGACTGATCTGATGCCAGCTCTCCCTGGCTTCATCCCTTCAGCACCACTTTTCATGAGTGAGTGTGTGTGCCTTCTTGCCTCATCCTCCTAGAAAATTCAGGGCGCTCCAGTGTTCTACTGCATTGCAACCTGGAGGACTCATTTTCACAGAAGCTGGTGTAAAATCCTACCTTTCTCATATGGAAGTGTTTTATTGCTACCTTTCAGAGAGGTATAAATTACAGCATCGAAGAACAAAGCCTGAGCCCTATAAACCAGTATTACCTTTGTGCCAAAGTAATCCAATTAAGGAGGTACTGTGATAACCTTAAAGCCATATCAAAATGAAGAAACCACTTAGGAACTCACAAACATCTGTTTTTGTATCAGACTGCATCAGCACAAGAACACCCTTGTGGGGTCCTAATCAGCCAAAGTATCGCTCTCATCTTCTACATTCAGCATGGCTTATCTGCTTCTCCATAATAAAATCAGGGTGATACTTGCTCTGATTTCTGTTAGCAGGAAAAGCCTCTGCTACTTAAATTGAAGCAATATGCTTCTATGCAGGTCCTGTCTCCTTTCCCCCAGAGGCAAGAGAAAATCCCAGGTATGATATTTCAAAAAGACATCCAAAATAACTTTCTACAAAACATAAAACATGCTGCTGTTGTGTCCCTGGATATGGGTCTCTATCTAGTATAACTGGTTCCTCAAACTAAATGATTTCATCAGAGTAACTGCTAGTCTTAAATGCAGTTTGGATCTCACATTTAGGTCCTATTAACTAAATAAGGAATATATTTATTTTTAGTAGAAGGTGGGTACAAAATCTGAAAGAAACAGGAAATGCTGATTAAATTAAATGTTGATTTGGTGTTCTGTAATTTAAACTATTGCAGGCATGTGGAATGATTTAAAAAAAAAAATGAAAGCCAGTTGAAAAAGTTAAGATGCTTGCTTTTAGTTGTCCATGCTAGGCAAAAATTAAGTATTACAAGAATCTGTAAACAGCTTTCAGTTTCAGTAATGGATTAAAGGCCCAAGCAACACTCATCTATCGTGCTACCATTAGTAACTCTTAGATTTCAATGAGATTACTCACATATATAAAAATAATCATAATCTACCAGGACACAGAGGTTAATAAAGACAGTCACAAGGACGGATTTAAGAATCAGGCTGGAACTTCATTAAGGCAATATTTTCACTTGTCAAACAGTTAGGTGGGCCCAGTGCAGGGATTACAAAGCTACAAATTAGGGCAGATCCTCCCAAATCTCTCTTTTAGAATGAGCTCGCATCTGAAGCCCATCCCTCAACCCTTCCCCAAGAAGGACCTAGACCCTCCAACACTTCATGTAGCTTTGCTTCTTTCCTACGTACAAATCCAATTGCAGAGTTCCAGTTTTCATTTCAGCCTTAGTCGACAATGAATGTTACATAAAATTTTCCACAAATTCCAATAGATGAATAAATGTGTACTGTCATTTATTCCAAATCCAACTTTTCAGCCTACCTGAGACTCCATGGTGCCACAAAGGTTATAAAAATATTTTATGCCTCCCCCAGCTATATTTTAACAGAAGAACATACCTTTCTTGAGATCAGATTTCCTCAAGTGACAGCATCCCAAGACCAGCATTTACATGTCATGACACAGAAAGAGAGGATTAATGTAGCCTAAAGCAGCAAGACACCCAAACTCTAGCATCACTTACATGGCTACCAAAAGCAAGGGAGCCAGTCAACGATCACAGCTGGTGGTCCTGTGCATATGCTCTGGCCGTCCACTTTCTTTCTTGGCTGTTTACCACACCGCCAGGTTAATTAATAGTGTTTTTCATGGAGCCTCCACTGGAGGTGGAGGAAGCACTTGCAGGATGAGAAACCATGTGGTGATGCTTACTTACATATGGAGACCACTAAGAGAATGTCTTGCATGGCTCAGCAGGGATCGCTTAGGACTAATTAGTCAGGGCAGACCATTAGGATAGCACAAGTGTGGTACTTCCAGACCGCTAAGTAGTCCAGGTACGTCAGCATGGCGCAGCATTCTGCACAGCCTGCATATTAAATTCAAGCAAGGACTGCAACAAGGTTTTCAAAACGATCAGGAGTATTGGGTGCTCTAGGAATTGGAGAAGTTGTGGTGTCTCAGGTGGCACAGAGTTTTGCAAAAACAGGTGTCTGAGGTTTTATAAATCTAGCCCCATTTGTTAACACTGGTGATTGACTGAAAAAGGGAGGTAAACAAAATCATCTGTGACTTCTGAAAAGAGAGGCCAGTTCCTGCGAGTACATTTTTGCAGGACTTGGCAGTTAGTGTCTTATCAGCAGCACAGGAACAGGGATTTGTATATACTGTTTTAGTAAGATTGGTATCTCTACAGCGCTCCTTAAATGAAAACAAAATTAAAAAATGCTGTAAAAGGAAAGAAAAAAAGACTCAATTTCCCATTTTTGACAAAGGCCTCTTAATTTTGAAAATAACCAACCTTTGTGCCACTAGATAGAGGGGGGTTTAAATATATCTTTAGGTGCAATAATTAATATTAAAATAAATCAGAAACAAATTGTGACCCTCTTTAAAATTTAGCACAGCTGCTGTATGTTTATTATCCAGCACATACACAGTAAATAGTACCCCCAAGAAAAACAAACATAACAAAATCAAACAAAAATTAAGTAAAGAAGTGGCCAAATCTCCAGTCAAAGACACTGTTCTTTAGTTTGTGATCTTTGTTTGTAAAATTGTGCAGCGTATACAATTTTTTCCACAGCATTCTTCATGTAAAGTGTTTTCTTGCACTACCATCTTTTGTGGACTAACACAGCTCCTAATATCCCCAAATTACTATCATAAAAACAAAAAGGAGAGGAGGTTGTAATGCAATGAGGTGTCATTTTGTATTTGTAACAGAACAATCATTGATTTAAAATTGGCATTGGAGTTCCTTTTCTGAAATGATTGCTAGGTTAGGAAACAACAGTTTAAACAAGCAAGATCTGAATTTCTGAAGAAAGGCTCAGGTTTAGCACGTCCTAATCTGTGTTTTGACTATTAGACCTGCACATTTCTCAGTGTGTGCACGTTCTATTTCTATGGAAGCATCCTATAGTAATGCTCCTAAAATCACTGCCTAGAAGGTCACACATCTTTATATTTCACCTTTAAAGAAAACACAGGTCTTACAATGCCAGATAAATAAAATTCTCTCAGAAACTTAAAACCAGTTTCACCTCATACAGCTGCTTGTGTGGTTACAGGTATGCAGTGAAGGATAAGCAGTGCAAAATATCTTATATTCTGCTTTTACAGTGTGTAGGCATTCAGGCTGTTCACTACAAATGACTGCACAAGGTGAGAGGCACTGGAGAATCAGGCCCCAAAGATTTTCTATACTGGATCAGATCACTGGTGCATTAAGTGTGTCACCTCACAGCTGGATGTTCCAAAATGAACCTAGCTATCTCTGTAGTACTGTGGGAACTACTCTGGCAGTCAGATTGCATCCAGGAAAGGAGACTGGGTTTTGTCTTTTATTTTCTGAGTGTAGCTATTTAGAACTGTCCTCATTTGTAATCAAATTGTTCAGACTTCCTTAACAGTTAAACAAGAGTACAGGATGTAAGACATGGCATTAGAAATCATAAATGGCATGGCAGGGGGACACACACACAACATGACACAACAAACAAGCAAAAACCAAACCCAAACACTACTTTCTCACTGTTTTCACACGTTTCTGTGGTATAAGAAAATAGTCCACAATATCAGAAACACATTATAACTATGCCATAATTTACATCATATTTTATACTGCAGAGCTGTTTTGTGGAACTTTACAGCTTTGTATAGTTATCCATTTAGGTCAGAAATGTAACTTAATATTACATAAACAATAATTATATACAATGTGCAAATATCACCTACCTATAGGAGGTACCAGATATCAGCAACATGAAGTAGCAAAAATATGTAAGCACACAAAGCTGTCTAAATCTCTCAGAGGTTTCATATGCTGAACCTCAGTGAGAATGAGATTGAAGCTCACCGCTAGTCAAGTCAGAGGCACAGATATTCCTAAAACATTTCAGCATGCTGATTTCAGCATCTGAAAAATCCAAAGCCTTCTCTGCGCAGAAGAGCAAAACTTGTAGTGCACATACCTTCT